TGATTGATTAATCATATTAACTGTAAATAACTTTTAAAGTTTTAATGATACATGTATCAAATCCATCCCTGAGCTTCTCCATACAACCACGTTTCCAGGTGTCCTGTTCGCTCTGAAGGTGATCTGCAACCATTACAACCACGGTGGCGTGACCTACGTGTTGAATATTCGTGTGCCCAACTACATCGCCAGCTGGGTGGAGCTCGTGCTGATCTATCTGATTGCTCCCGGGTGAGATACTGTACCAACTGAGTGATGATGAAGAAGAAGGTGGCGATCCACACAGGAACAAATAAAGTAATGTGTGTAATGTAATGCGTCTTCTTCAGGACCTCTTTGATTGGCCACCTGGCGGGCATCCTGGTGGGTCTGCTCTACACCGTGGGTCCACTGGAGACCATCATGAAGACATGTGCAGGTCTGAACGTGTGTGTGTGTGTATGTTTTTTGTATTGTCACAAAGTCAGTGCTTGTTAATATTCTAATATTCACTGAAATTCTCTGTTTTTTTTTAAAGAGTTTGTGTCTTCTGATGGATATAATCCCCGGCCAAGTTCATACTTCAGCTCCTCAGGTACAACAGTGTTTGAGAATTCATATTTATATTACAGGGATATAATGTATGTATATACAATGTTCTGTCATTGTGTAAACTGAAGACCCTAAGTGACATATTTTATGGATATTTATTATTATATTTAATGATTAACAGTACAGAACAGCTGATAAACCGAACAATGAACCCGCAATGAATAGTGAACACAATAACTGAGCAATGTGGATGAATTTTGAGCAGATTATTTAATCAGAGATGAGTTTCCCTGATAATTTCAGGTAACTTTTAATACATTTTTAATACATGTTTACATTAATACATACTTTTTTTGACAAATTGACTGTTTGAAATGCTGAGATATAGGGGTAAATATATATAAATCAAGAGGCCCTCACAACCCCTTTGGTCTTCAAGGTTGCTTTCAGATTAGTTACCTCATTAATTCAGTGTTTTGATTTAAAAAGCGTCACCCCAAAAAGAAATGTTAAGAACAGAAATCCAACCATTATTGCTTTCTGTTTGGTTCTGACTTGGTTGTATTTAATTAATCTTTGCGTAAATGCCTGTAAATGCGTCTGTAGGCTACAGTGGGACTAGACAAGAACATCGACGGGAAGATCCACAGCATGCAGGCGATCGTACGACTGATTACACAGAGGATGATATTGCAGATATGACAGAGGAGGAGCAGATAGAAATGGCGATCAGAAACAGCCTGAATGAGAAAGGTAGGAGACAGGAATCACAATAAATGGGAGGCGGGAGGGCGCTGATGCTGCTGAACTACAGTGTGAACAGTGTGTTAGTCTCACCACTCACTGTGAATAAGGACCAAAGAAAACTGACAAAAACACACAATTTTAGTTAATAATATTTATTTTTTAGGACGGACCAGGCAGAGAGAGACTGCACATCCCCGTTATGGTTTCCAGCCCACTGAGGAGGAGGCAAGGCTTGAGGAGATCAGGAGGAGGAGATTGAATAGGTTTGAACAAGAAGTTTCCAACCAGAGGAGGAGAAGATTGTAATGAGACACACAGTCTCTCTTACACCTACAGAACATCCCAGCTGTGGTCTTGGTGTTGGAGTAGCTGCTTTCCATCACTCTGTCTCAAACTCAGATTGTCTGCTGGGATCATCATCTCATAGGAGAGTCACTACAATGTTTAAGACCTACAAGAAAGCACAATATTCTGACACTATTTCCATTACTAAGAATATACTTAACAGCAGTTTCTCTACATTTTTATATCATCATTTTATATTATCTTTGATCGAAGCCAAACAACAAATGAAAGTCTAAAATCTACTCTCTTCTTTCAACCCTTTGCACGTATTTGTGGCACCTTTGCGCCACACGATATATCATTTTTTAAATAGAATTGTGTTTTAATTTGTATTGTATAGGAAGGGTGGTTTAAATTGATATGAAACAACAAGAAAGAATAGACTTTCAGGCCTCGTTGAGAACGCACCAGATTTTTTAGCTGCATTATATTCTGGTCTGTTGATGCTGGATTTCACACTGAATAAATATTTGTGGGCTACAAAGAAGCCTGGAAGGGGGATGTAGAAGAAGACGTCCTGTCTTTGTGACCAGCTCGTGGCCTCTTGTGTTTACTATAAAGGGTGATATTGGTGTTGAAATCTCACTAGAATCTCAGAAATTCAGTGTTACTTCCCTTTTCCTAAACCTTTAAATTGGTGCTTTGCCCTCACGTAACCAAACCATAACCATAGATCAGATAGGAAGACGCTCATATTGGTCATTTTGGTGTAAACCAGTTTGTTGTGGTTCTGTTTTACATTATATTTTTGCACTATAAAGATTTACTGCCTTCTAAATTCTGCTGGTTGTAATTAATTTCTCAAGTAATTCTGCACCACAATTTTGTTACAGTTAAAATACTGAGCAAAAATACACACATTTGCCATAGAGGTCAACTTTCAGTACATCAGTAACGAATGTCTAAATGTTTTACTGACCATCCTACCAGAGTCAAAACTATCAATAATAATAGTATTAAAGTATTATCTTTATTTATGATATGATAATTGTTTTGTTTTTTTCTGGCCTTCGAGGAAAACGTGTGTTGTGTTTTGTAAGACATTAAATAGATTTTAAAAGAGACACAAGACTTTGAAAAAATGTGGAGTTTATTTATGGACGTCCTTCAGCACAACTTTTCAGAACTATTGATAACATTATTAACTATCACAATAACTTCAAACATTAAAGGATGAGATGTGCATTTCTATATGTACTGTATGCTGCTGTATAAAAGTAAACCTAAATAAATAAATGTGTTTAAAATATATATTTGACATATTGACAGGTTTCTGTGCTGTAGTTCACATTTTAGTGCTGCGTCCAACCACAACAACATCCTCATCATCACTCCCTCGTCCGAGTCTCTGTGTTGGCCCGGAAGCCCTCCTCTTCCTCCTCTTCCTCCCTCTCCTCCTCCTCCTCCTCTTCCTCCCCCACCTCAGTGGTGATCCGCACAACCACTTGCTGCTTGGTGATGTCATTCTGAGTGGCCACAGGATTGTCGTAGCATCCTTCCTCACCAGTGGAAGAGGAGGTGGCGAGGTCCGTGCTGTTAGTGGGTGTTGGCACAGCGTTGAAGGCGATGAAGCCGATGAGGATGACCACCAGGGAGACCAGGTAGAGTCCAGAGAACTGAGGCAGGGCAGAGAGCGAACAGGTAGATTTAAGTGTATGAACAAAGGTGATGCTAATCTTTTTGTTTATTGTTACTTCACTTTGACGTTTGAGCTCCACTGTGCGGAGTTTGACACCAGAAATCTATTTTCACATTTGCATTTGACAATGAAAAGTTTCTTTGAGCTCACTTCTCAGTTTAACACGTGTATGTGTGTACCTGCAGGATTTATGACATCATAACTAGTTTGGATCCAATCAGGAACCAATATGCAACTTACACAAGTGTGATGTGGAAACTTGAAACATTCAAGGTACAAACGATGAGAATTTAAATGAGGCAGACATATGAAGAAGTACAGAATTATAATATTCAACTACTCAAATTAAATTAATTAAATTATGTTTCTCTCGCGCGGTTCATGTCAGTGAAACAGGAAAAACCAAGTTGTGTCATTTTCAGATTAGCACATGATGAAATAACCCGTTTGTGTTGTTTAAGGGTAATTTAAAGGACTTTGGACTCACGAGTTTATACTATGTATAAGCATGCAGCTGTGTGAAAACACTTGACAATGGAATTACACTTTAACCTTTATTATAATTCATTAACACTGCTGTGTCACCTTAACATCCAGCAGGTCACTGTGACCCAGATAGGAGGGCGGGAATGAAGAGTGTTTATATATAAATTTTTTAATAATTTCTTAAAACTGTTGGTATATATTTATAGTATAAAAATGAGTGTGTGTGTGTGTGTGTGTGTGTGTGTGTGTGTGTGTGTGTGTCTGCTCACATTGTACTGGAAGAGGAAAATCCCACAGAAAAGGCTGAAGAGGTCTGCAGTGAGCAGTGAGAGGTTGACGGAGGTGGCGCTGCTCAGCTTCATCACTATGGGCATACAGCTGTAGAGAGCATACAAACACAACGCGAAGGCAGAGAACAGGAGCCCTGAGAGGAGAGATGCCCAGTTAGTTCATACAGGATCAACTTAATGCACATATCCAGAGACCTGGAATCATCATTTTAGCCTTCTTTAGCTCCTAGACCTTCCAACAGCTCCAGAGCTTTTATGGAGACTTTATATAAAATATATTATGTGTAGAAATCGAAAACTTTGTGGTTTTTGGAGTAGTTAGTTTGTTTGCTCTCAAAGGGAAGTTGTTGGTTTTGCACAGTGTGAATAAAAATTCCAGGATATAATGGGAACTAGCCTCTTAACAGGCTTATCTTATCATGTATCGTGGTCACCTTATCGTTCCTCATGTTGTTTTATGTTCTAAATGTTTCTGAGCAAGATACTGACCGACTTGCCAGCTCCACTTAATGGCAGCAACTTCATTACGCTCCAGGACCACCCTGGGTAAAGGAAAATAATAACACCAGATTAACCATAATGTTGAATGAATCCAAAGTATGGTCACACACACACACACA